CAACAAATGTGGGAACCATATGTCATAATCACGGTTAAACTGCCCGAAGCGACTGATTAGTGTTTTCTGCAAAATATTAGGCTAAGAATTAGTGGTTTTTGTTCCAAACTTGTAAACCGGTGTTTTTCGCAAACCTCGATGTCAATATGGTGGTTTTCTGCAATCCACTCGAATTCAACATGAGTACCATACTCGCTTCTCCATTGTCGTACCACCTCCTCTCCCGCACGCTCGGGCTCCAACACACAATGTACAACTCTCAGTGATAGCCTAGCATAAACACATTCTTGAGAAGGTGCTTACCCATCACCTCATTTCTTCTTTCATGCTTGTTACCGCAAGCAGTGCAAGGGCACCACACTCCACCATGTCTACTATGTCTGGCAAATGCTGCTTCCAAGACCTGGTTCGTCTTTGTAATATATTCCAAACTCACAATCCTCCCTCAGTTGTCCGCTGAACATCCACTCATGATCCTCCATCTGATGTGTTTTCATTGACCAAGTAGTTTCATGTAGTATTTGTTCAATTTATTACAATTATTCACGGCTATCAGGTTTTATAGCATTAGCTCAAACTATCTAATTGCTAAGAATAGGCCCAAATCCAATCAGAGGACGTGTAGGATGGCTTCATTCTCATGCTCTACTCCTATCCGAGACAGGATTTCGGCAAAACCTCATGTTGTTCTCCAATCACACGTCTCAGCAAAAAATGAGAGAATCCAAAAAAAGCCCGAGCTAAACCTCCTACCCAAAACCGGTCGAACCGCACAGACCGCACCCACCCCCCGGGCCACGACCTCCCACCTGCACCTGGTCAACCCCCACCCTGGGCAAGTCCCGCACCGCTCACCCTCCCACTCACTCTCCTTCTCCATCTTCTTCTTCGCCGCGGTGGCCACTCCATCCACCTTCCTCTCACCGGATCTCGCCGCCACGTCCTCGCCGGTGATGGATCTGACCCTCCGCACTTTACCCATGTGCTTCCTTGGGTGTGCACCGCCCTCGCACCCACCCACCCACCCCCGAACCCACCTTCTTCCTCC